GAACACAGCACGATTATATTGAGTGTGCTGGGCTTTAAGGGCGAGTGAAACAAGGCTGCGACTGAGCCGTGCTGTTAGCTTTTGGTGAACAGTGTGCTGGCTTAAATGAACCATTTCTGACAGATGCAGCCAGGAACAGGGGAAAAATTTATTCCAAAACATTATTGAATATTCCAGGTAACACAGCAATGAAAAACAGAGGTGAGGAAGGAAATGGGGGTTGGTTTTGAATTCAGAGCCTAAGCCATTAACCATGAAGAAAGGTGTTAGAGCATCTATCTTACTGACAGTTGTACTGCCGAGTTAACCCATGAGAGAAATCTAAAGTCATTACTGGATTTAAAAACAAAAAACAAAACAAAACAAAAAAAAGCTAAAAACCCTAGCCACCACCCAAATTCCAGAAGACTGATCTTAATCAGAATATAAAATGTTAAGAAAACACAGTGCTAAGGGAATAGCCAGCTAATCATTGTTTTGGCATTGAAAACATCACTGGTGCTTGGGTAAAGCCTGTGAAATACTTGTGACTGTCGCCAGTCCCCACTTTTCCCAGTGAGTCGATCCCGGTGCTTTGTTCCTTTTACTGGGCGCTGAGTGGCTGCTTGTTGTCCTGGGATCAGTCGTCCGTGTATGAAGCTTCCCAAGTTCCAACAGCCTTTCTCGTTAAACCAGGCAACCCGATCTATTTTAGCTTTCCTCTTTGTGTTTTGTGGATCATGGACTGTTACTGTTGTTGTCTTTTCAGTGAAATGACTTCAGGCGTCCTCATACTCCCGCACGTTCCTTGCCAGAGACGAGAAAAGTGTAACCATGATTGCTGTATTACATAGCTTGTTTTTCTGTCTCGCCTGTCGTTCTGCTTATACTCCAGGTATGCGAGACTTGAATTGGCAGCATACTGCTGGTGGCTGTAAGTCAGCTGGTGGTTTGTGGTAACTGCGTTGTTATCCGCACAACTCCCTCCGGAGTAGTTTTCCCATACTGAAATGCTGCAGCTGCTTAATGATATCTATGTCATACGTTAAATTTGTGCTCATAGAACACGGCTGGGTTTTCGTAGGCTGTTTCTCGAATTTGCCAAGACACTTTGGACATTTAAAGTGTTGCAAAGGGACTGGCAACGGTGCGTCTCCATGTCGCTGTCAGCCACAAGGCTAATGAACGTTTTTTCTTCTCATTATTGATGTCCTTAATGAAAATATTGCCTAGCGGTACATACACGATAGATTCCGATGGGACTCAGTTTGGTCGACCTCTTCAGTCTGACGCTGAAACCTTCTCTCTGGTGATACTTGAAGCTGGGTTTGCATTTTGAGACATTTGTTCGGGCAGCGTTTCTTTATCTTACGGATAGTTTCAAATGCTCCGAGGATAACTACTGCTAGGTACATCCACCGAAACAACCCGATACCTGGCTACCTCTTCCTTCGAGCCAAAGGTTTCCAGAAAAAATAGTTCTGCGCTTTGGTACTGTTTTTGACATGGGATTTTTAACATGCTTTCGAAGTTCTCTTAACGTAAAAAGAAAGTAAAAAACGGAAAGCTGTTGGTGTGTTAGAACACCTGAGGTGTAAATGTAGCAGCTTCCCAGTGCATGCTCTAAACATTCGTCTCCTGACCCGGTGCATCAGCAGTCCACGTTCTGTCCTTTCCGTGGCATTTTGCGCATTTTTCTTCTTTCTCACCCTGTTAGGGATCCCGAAGATAATTTTTTTCTGTGCTTAAAGGCGACTTTACGACTCCCCTAGAGCAACCCACATTAGAGAGTCAATGTGTTGTATTTCAAAGATATATATAAAAACGCAAAAGTAATTATTTGGTGATAGAAAAATAATTCAGCAGTGGTTACAGGCAGATTTTCTTAATCTGATCTCGTTTGCATTTATGCTTCGTAAGCTTAAGATTTAAAACATCTTTTTTTTGTGTGTGTCTGTGACTATTTGGTGTAAGGAAAGTCCATAACATAAGACGGTGGCCAGATCTAAGCCCTGAGTTTCCATCCATTTATCTTACTCTTTCGGTGGATTTCTTTAAGGTGATGTGCCCTCTGTCTGGACTAAAACTGGCTTTAGGTTACTTGTTTTGGTTTAAAGTTTACATATCCTTGATCATTTTGAATCAAAGTGATAGGAGCCGTATAGGAAGTTTGCGTACGTATTTCTCCCCCATCTGAATAAAATTGATACACACATGGAATTTTCAGGTAAGCTGAGCCCTGCGAGCCGACTGAGTTTACAGTTCCACGGCTCAGCAGGTGCTATGCGGGAATTTGATGTTTTACTCTGAGACACCTCTTTGACCTTGTTCACAGCGGCAAGTCGGGCAGTGGCAGAACTGTAGCTGGTGTAAACCATCATGACTGCATGAGTGAAGAGCCACAGCACGGTTTTCCCCGCTATGATAAATCGTACGTTCCTGTTGATGCTTCATGAACACTTACAGAAGATTTGCTCACTGTTAAGTTTGTGTCACTTCCTATCATTCAGCAAGTATCTTCCAACGCGCTAGGCAAGCTCTTTATGCTGACAACACTTTTTCACTTCTTCTTACAAGTTCTGGACCCTGAAAAAAAGCCAAATATCTAATGAGTGATAGAGTCAGGAAGACGATGCACTCGTTCACAGGTGAAATGAGTGTGGTGGCAGTAAGTAATGTTTTATCATCTTTGCCAGTTGTGTACAAACACTGGATATGCACAGCGCATATACATACATCCCTGTTTAATATGCATTTTGCTTTTACTCTTCAGCTCAGATGACCTTAGAAGACTTGGCATATGTCAGGAAAGTACTGAAACCTAGCTTTATTAGGAAGAGTTACTAGAAGGGTTCTTTGCACATACGCTGTTCAGGTGTATTCAGAGGTGCAAATTTCAAGTTAATGAGAGAGACAAATTTCTGTATTTTATCATTTAAAGCAAAGCAAGGCAAAGACTTAGGAAAAAAGAGAGAGCATGGCTCAAGGGTCATGGACGGTTTGTTAAACTTCCGTTGAGGAATATAGGCAAGGGAGAGAGATGAGAAGTAGACAAAAGCAGACTACTGGAGGGTGAAGAGAAGCCCAAGTAGCTCAGCAGTGTGAAGCTCAGTGAGCTAAAATAACATAGGACAGACAAGAGGAAAACAGAAGTAGGGAGAACAAACAGGGAAAACGCTTTCACCTAAAACTCAAATATATCCTTTCCCTCCCTATTGCAGAGGAACTTTTCAAGAGAAGTTCAGTTAAGAACTGCTAGCCAGGGCAAGACCTTTCCCTCTATCCTTCAACGGTGCAAGTCCCAGTGACTCCCCAGAAGCAACGGATGTAGCTGAGCTCTGTAGTTATAAATTGCTGGGCATAAACACAAGACTAAATCGACAAGTTGTCTCGTGATTATTCAACTGGTACACGCACCCGCTTGCACAGGCAATAAAGTTTGTCTTCGGAAATGCAACTGCAGGAATTCTGGCTAGCCAGGCTTTGCTTTTGCCGCTTAATGCGGAAATTTACTCTTGCGTATACTCCGCGTTTAGGTTCCGATTCAGAACGTACGGGTGAGAATAGAAGCGATACCTCTTTCGCAAAACAGGCCTCACGGTTTTCCTCTTTGCAGCACCGTTCCCTCATGGCAGTAAAGGCGGCCGTGACTGAAGTCAGCTGTCCCTGTGTGATCTGGGGCTTGTATTTGATGAGGTTGATGAGCATCCTGCAAGGATAGGAAAGCAAGCCCTGTGAAGCTGGCAGGTAAGCACAAGCTTCTCAAGCGTTAGTCCTGCCAAGTCTCGGTTTTGTGGCTGCCCACTTCCTTTCTACAACTTTTTCACTTTTATTCACTGCCCAGATACATATTTGCAGCCGGGAGCAAAGATGCGCCCCATTCCCCAGCGAAATAAAGTATCAGTACTCATTTTTGGAGTTGCTCCACCATGAATATCCTTGAATAAACCGTGCAGGTGGCTTATGTCTTGTGCACCGCTCCGGGGGGCCAGAGCAGGATGGGTTCACCACAGCACCAATCATTGGCCAAAGAGGGTTTTTTCCCTTGCAGTGATAGTGGAGTGGGGGCAAGTGTGCAAGTTTTTTCTGTCCAAGGCAGCCAAACACCTGAGCCTTTCAGAGACTGAAGGAGTGCATGGGATGAGGGAAACTGTATGGGCTTTCCCGCTCTGGGACATGAGCCCCTGTCAGGCCGTAAAAGTATGGCCCTACTTCGGGCAGCAGCTTCCTCGTACCTGTTTCTGCAGTGCCTTGTGCAGTTCCCGTAAAGGACGGTGGGAGGGCGTTTTGATCAGTCCTAACCTTGGACACCTATTGCTTCCATGCTGCTGCTGTGTACACCGGTGTGGCTACCCACCTCTGAAAGTGACTTTCTTTTAATCAAAGGAAGGTAAATATAGGTTGAACCAGGTAGCAGAAGCAACTGGGACTAGCTTGAGAGGAAAGAAAAGGAGCTGGGAAGAGGGGCCGAGGGGTGTATGGCTGTTTTTCCACAGCATATTGCAGAACAAGAAGGCCAGACCACGTGGACGAGGGAAGGGTGAGCCTTGCCTGGGTAAGAGTTCTGAACACAGGGGTAACAGAGTAAAACAGGCATGTCTTTCTTACTCCTGCTTCTTGTGCTGTAACTTTTCCTCTTCAGTCGTACACAAGTCTTCACGGAAAGTGAACAGACCAGGAGTCAATGATAAGGGCACATAATTCTCATCAGTTTCTAATTTCCCCATGCACGGCCTCCTGAAAGCATAGGAGCTACTACAGCAGTGGCAAACTCCTGGGTTTATAGGGTTGGTCAGGTGTCTTCTACAGATTTCTCCAAGCACAAGATCCAGCTGTACCAAAAGAGGTGAGAAAAAAAAAAAAAAATTACAGTTTCATTTTCAAAAATCCCTGAAACACACACTGCTCTTAGTAAAGTTAAAAAAAGTAACTTGACAATTTAAGGTAAGCCTTGTTTGTAAGATAAATAACTGTTTTATTGTTCACCTGAATGCTGACTTTGGTCAGTGCAAAGATGGCTCAGATCTTTCTTAATAAATATGTATATCTGGTTTTAGGGACTGTCCTTTGCACAGAGAAATGACGAGATTTTTTCCTAAAAGCATGCTAGTGTTTGATTTGTGCTCATCAGCAGGGTTTCTGTGGGTATGTTAATCTGTTCTAGTAAAGGGGATGCTGTACAAATGGGTGTCTGGAGGACAGGCTGAAGCTTTTTAAGTACTTAGGATTATGGGCCGGGAGAATTCTTATGGAAGAGCTATACAAAATTGACCTCGGACAAGAAAGCCTTCGCTTCAGGGGAACAGGGTCAGATTGGCCGCACTGCGTAACCGGTAACTGCCTAGCACTAGCCTGGCCCTTTCCTGATCCTCCTGCAGTTTGATTCAGGCATTAACTTCCCCGATGCCGAGTTGGGCTTACTTCAGGCACGTGTCTGGAAGTACACCTTCAGGCCGGCTCAAGAACTCTGTGAACACTCTTCTCGTTTACCTGTACTCCAAGCTCTTGGACACTGCAGGCAGCAGAATTGCTGGCAGACTGTCAAGAAAAAGTCAGACCGAGATAAGTAAGAAAAATACTCACGTTTTCCTCAGCACAAGGCAGTAGCTTGTCCTGGCTCAGCTGGCAGCATTTGGAGCCGATTGTAGTCATTTGCTTGGTGAATTTTATCAGCTCTGCAGATGTTAGCTGAGGCATCTTCTTGGTGAAGCTCATGAGGAGCCTGAAATTATAATTTCTTTGATGTTGGTGGTGTCGTTCCACCAGGCAGCAGTGAGCAAGCCACTGCCTTCGCACGCGTAAAGCTCCGTCCGAGCCGCACAGAACACTCACTAGTATGAGGCCGGGACTAAGCCCCGTGTTTACAAACTCACGTAAGCGAGTGTAAGGGTGCTCTGTTTGAGCTCTCTCCTTTTTCTGACCAGTCTCTTACCAGGCTAAACAAATAAAAGTACTGATAACATTGCCACTTGTATGTCGGTGGGCCCTCTCAGGAGGTGGTACTAAGTTTTTCCCACATTCCTCATTTCCCTGGGAGTGTAGGCGGCTTGTCTAAGAGCAAAACTGAACTCGAGTGACTTCTTGGCAGATTAGATGGGGACAGAAGATAAGCTCAAAAAAGGTCACTTCTTTTTTTCTTTTCAAAAAACTGTGCTTAACCATCATGCGCAAGAAAACCTTTTCAACTGATAGAACAGGCAGAAGCAGCCCAGCAAGTTTCTTGGAAACCTCTAGTTCCAAAGGTCTTTTAAAGATCAAACGTGCTTGGGAGTGCAGAAAGCACAATGTATCTCCCCCGAGAACGCTAGCTGAAGCCTAACTTCATGTACAGAAGCAGTTGAGAGGTTTCTTTGGGATTGCTTACATACTTTAAGTTAGGCACGTGCTCATTAACAATGCAAATCGGGGCCAGACTTCCTCCAGGAGGCTTGTGCCTGCATGTTCCAGTGAAGCGTAGTATATGGTTCAACCAGTCCGGTTTCGCTCCGTCTAGTGTAGTGAGATTTCTGTTACCATTGTTAGTGTTCACATCTGCGGCAGGAGCCTGACAGAGAGAAGTCTTTTGCAAAAGACACAGCTCCTCTCTGTAGGCCAAATTTATGACTCCTAAGCTACAGCTCACTGCTCAAAATGCAGCTGTAAAGCAAGAACGTCATAGGAAACATGGTCGGGAGGCTGGCCAAGTTCTCACTTCACTGCTGCATGAGTTGGGTTAAGGAGAGAACTCGTGAGAGGCCAGATCATTGTTGCGGAAAAGATAAAACAAAATGCTAGGAGCCGTTAATGAACCGTTCCAAATGTTCAAGTGGTGCCTTTTAGCGTAGCTTTTTTGACACGCGTGGCTTTACTCCAGCCTGAGCTGTGCCCAGCTGGCAGAGGAGTAACGTAAGTATATAAAGAAGTAATACTCGTTTTGGAAGTAGTAATCTCCCTTCTCCTTGTAGATGTCACAGCTTGTCTTCATGACGCTTTCAGTTTCGTAAATATGTTTCTTCAGTTCGTCCTCCTGAAAAAAATAAATGAATTTGAGGAGTCATTGAAGCAGGGGGAATGCAGAATGCCCTACTGCCCCACGATAAGGCCTGGATATCTATAGCTATCTCTCACCTCATATATACCACCCATTTTTAATGCCATTAGAAGGTCCTCATCTGTCTGCAACCTCTGTAAACTGCCCGAAAACGATAAACGTCCACTTTCAATCACCTTGAACTACTTAATTCTGTATCGCTGATGGAAGGCTAGCTCAGGGAGACGGGGAGGCTCCTAACTTCGGGTATTTACGCCGATACGTTTATCTGAGACAATAACCATAAGCGCCTTTTGCATTTGCGAGAGCACAACAGGCACCGCTAGGGAGCCCGAAAGAGAGCAGGGCTCAGGGGAATGTTAGCTCCACCTCCTTCCCCGGAGGGATTTGAATTTCTTCACAATGGAAGATTGTGAAGGCCCTGTTGATGCTTTTTCCATATGGGAATCACTCGGGCCTTGTAATATTTGCCTTTGTAAAATTTGTGAAGTTTGGGCTTGTTGCAGGAGCTGTGGGTACTTGCTCTAGACCTGGAGCAGGGCTATTCACTATCTGGCTGGATTCAGTCATGTGCCGGCATGCTGGAATCCATCAGTACGTTGTGTGAAGCCTCAGGGCACCCACCCCTCTGCTGCAGCAGTCATCTGGAGCACCGGCTTTGCAGCACTCTTTCAGTAGGTCCTCGTATCCTTTACCAATTCTTAAAAGCATCTGAGCAGAAAATTCAGGGTGTCTCCTGGAATATTCGTAGAGAAACCTGCAAGGTGTGGAGTATCGGGAATTAGAGATAAGCCAAAACAGCTGTCCTCAAGAGGGCAGGGATGGCGAGGACAGCAGGGGTGCTTCTGGAACAGTTTTGTCTGATGTCCAGTGGAACACGGAGCATTTTAAAGCATCTCGGCCTGGGACTGAACCTGAACAGAACGTGGCTGCCTGACCAGAGCATTACTTGCGCGAGTCCTGTGCACGTAACGGCCCCAGCTCAGCGTTAGGTTGGGTCAAGCATAGCCTGGAGCTTTGTGGGGCTTGGGCTTTTGCTCTTTTTGAATCCTATCTTAAATGATAACAAAATTATCTCAGTAACAGACCCATTTCTCAGTAGACGCTGAAAAGATTAGCTCTGCTGAAGCAGTGACCCTACGCAGCAGTCGTGCCCAATCTATTAGCTGCACTTGGCATAAATGGGAGGGATGTTTATTTGCAGTGAATTCTCTGTCTTTGGGACTTTTTCTGAACTACCACTTAAGAGTAGATCAAAGCTATGTCTGGGCCCGCGATCCGCACCGACAGTACCTCAATTTCACACGCATTTTTGCAGTTTTGTCTCTGACATAACACTCGTGCCCTGTTCTGCGTTTGTTCCCATTCCGTACCCCCGAGGGTTGAGCGGTGTTTTACCGAGATCGACTTGCACGGTATCCCGTGCCTGTATGCTCATTGAGTAGATAAATCTGAGGCTGATGAGCTGGGCTTTAATGTCCAAAGTGTCATCTTTTGACCCAAGTACGGCAACAGCAAAATTGAAGAGTAGAGGAAGACCCACTTTACCTGGCTAAGTGTGTATCTTTTTCCTGGGCAAAATGTTCACATGTTCCCTTGTCTTCTATGAACTCCCTGACGTGAGGGGTCAAGTCTGCAGGTTTGTCATCATTTTCTGCATTAACTATGCATTCGCTTCTTTGCAACAGAGGCTTTTCACAGCACTTCTTAATTTTACTTGATATGATGTCTTGGTTGGTGCAGACATAGTGTAGGATCTTTTCCTGTAAAGGAGAAAAGGGAAGGCAGGGCGTGTTAGCAGATTTTGGGGGTTTTAGGGTTGGGTGGATTTTTTTTTTTTTTTTTGGATCTGTGTTTTTATCTCTGTTTTACAGACGGAGAATGTGACTCCCAAAGAGGAGAGATGGCTGGCCAAAGCTGGGCAACAGCCAACTGGCAGAACAAGGAAGAAGACTGCAGTCCTACGGAACTCTTTGCTGCAGTCCCTGGCTTGCCGCTAAGTAACCACCTAAACCGTGGACTGTCTAGCTGGACACCACAGACAAGCAGTCAGATAAAGGGTTTGGTAGGTTAGAAGAAGGCAGAGAACAGAGGACGGGCAGATGCTGTCTTCTGGCAAAAGCTGCACGGAAAATACATGGCGCAACTAGGAGCTGCAACCAAACCCGCTGAAGCAGCGTTGGGCCATTTGAGTCATAAAGTGATCTTCCTGCCCTCGTTGATGACTTCACACCAGGCAAAGTCACACAGGAGAATCAACCAGGTGTGTAGACTGAAGAGTTAAACTCCAGTTTTGGAGAGCAATCAGTACAGCACAGGAAGAAAAACAAATGTGACAACAACGACAAAAAATGCATTCCATTTCTGCGAACACAGAAATATTAAATGAGTTTTACCCTGTCATGCATGCAGTCCAGCATATCTCCACGACAGCAGTCCCTGTGCATGTTAGCAACATCCATCACAAGTTTGGTAACGGTAATAAAATCAGCTTTAGGGAATTTTTGGCTTATCTGAGCAAGTTTCCTACAACAAAGAAAAATAGTTATTGTTTATATTCACAGTGTGAGACTGTGATGGCTACCATCACTCTTCTGTGGAGGGGGTATCCAAACTGCTCAGGAATGGTCTTTGCCTGCTCCCATCAAAGTTAACAAATAAATGTCCCTTGAAGACAATAGCTGACGTATTCAGAGTTACTGAAGGATCCTAGGTGAAGTTCAGTGTTAGATGATGGAAAGAAATGTGGTAGGTGAGCATGAAATTACAGGAGCAACTTTTTGTCAAAAATGGTTAAGAGAGGTGACTTGTGTTTTGTTCACAATCACTCTAACCACAGAGAGACCAGTTCATTTCGAACTTCAGCTTTAGACCTTGACAGCTAATGGCCGTTTGTAAAGAAAGGGTGGCAGCTGTCATGCATACATGGGTATTCCTGATCTGTATTCCTTATTAGATGCTACTCGTGGTCTGCACACAAAAAGGACACAGGTGCTATTCGGGGTCGCTGTACTGACTGCGGGTGGGGACCCAGCCACAGCTAACATGCAACATCCACGCTTTATTTCCAAGTACCGATAATCACAGGGAAGACTCACAGAGCCTTTAAGGTCCTTTCTCCAAACTTCTTCAAGATTCCACACGTGTGTTCCTGCCTTAGGCCATCTTCTTTTACTGGCTTCACCACCTTGGGTACCTGGTAAAAAGAAGATGCAGGCGGTGAAAGTGGAAGAAAAACCAAGACAATTCTTTACGCTAAAGCTGCTGCGGCGATGGGTTTTTAAAGGGGGGTTCTTTTAATAGTGAAAGAAAATTGCTCTCCAGGCTGCAATATGAACTAACAGTTGTGCTTGCTATTTAATCCCCAGCATTTATTAAGTCTTCTGTGAGCAGAAACCAGAACCCTTTTAGACAATATTTCAATGGTTTTAGCGTAGGGGAAGAAATCATCATCTGGGAGCTCGGTGACCGGCTTTGCATTACGATGAGCTAATGTTAAACTATGCTGTCGCTTGCACCCCGCCAAGCTGCGTGAGAAGCATATTCAGCAAGGGAAGGTTCCCCACGCTTATTTCCCACCGTTAGGTGCAGTTTGCTCTGGATTTCTGACACTGGTTCTGTGTGGGGCGTGTCTCTGCAGTGCAAACGTTGGGCCGAGCAGGACATGCGTCAGGGGCTATCAACAGGAATAAGAAGAATCAGATTTCTGCACTACGCCTAGCACCGCGTCCTCTCTCGGCACCTTTACGACAAACCCGGGGCAGGTAGCGGAGTCGGGGTGGGCAACGACGCTATCGCAGGGCGTGGAGGCTGCCTTGGCTTCCCCGTAAAGCTACATCTGCCCAACGCCCCAGAGCCGTGCATTTTCACGTAGGAGTTCAAGCTATAACTCGAGAGAGCATTGAAGTCTGATTTCGGCCTGTCCGTAACAAGGTGAGTTCTAGTATCGCATGCAGATGCTGAAAAAGAAACGGCTGCCGTCTCTGCTCCGGTATGTGTTTAGCTATAGGGCAGTCCCTGGTTGCTCATTAAGACACTAATGCCCGGCGGTGGAATACCTGTCTCCGAAAGCATTCCTCCAGGTTATGAGTGGGGTCTTCCGCGCTTCCGCAGCAGTTCTTCATCATCTCCTCGTACCGGAGAGCGACAGAAAGGATCGTTGGGGCGTAGAGGAAAGGATGCCTTCGGGAAACCTCGTAGATAAAACTAAACCCGAGCGAGAAAAGCCTTTAGTTTCAGAGTAAGGCTTTACAAGCAGAGGGCAGCATCCGCCATCTATTAAAACGATAGCTACTGAAAGTGACTCTCCTCCCCTCCCACCAACAAGCTGCGTAGTGTGGTGCTTATCTGGGAAATTCTTGCAAAATTCTGACAGGGCTGGCGTTTTCCTGGAAATTGAAGTTTCAAGTCCTGCCAGTTCTGCCTTAGAGGCAGCAAAACATGTGCTGGGCTTTTAAGGAAGGACTACAGCGAGGCCCTTGGTTTCAGATGAGTCTTCTACGCGGACTACAATAAAATAGGCCAGATTGTTTTTCATTTGGACCTATATCTAAGGCAGGAGGTGGCAAAACAGGTTTCACCTAAAGACAGTTGCAGCTAGATGAATTATGCAAGTAATTCCTATTAGGGAGAAAAAACAAGTACAAGGTTACAGAGAACCTTGGGCTGAACTTTCTGTTTGAGACCGCATTTGCTCTCTCTAGGCTCATAACTGCCATATCTAGGCAACGAATCTATAATTTATTTACTTACTATCCTGGTAATGAATGTTGATGCTGCGAATGATTTTTGCAGGCGGCTTCAGCATTTGGCCTTTCAAAAGGAGAAATGAACCCTCTCGAATTTTTGAGGGAAAGGAAGCAGTCATTTCTTTTAGGATCCTGTTTAGCACAGCAGTCGGTAAATGTGGGAAGATTTTCCTCCTGGCATATTGTATCGAGGAAAATGCTGTCCTGTGAAAAATTAGAAAAAAATTAACTTGTGTGAGGATTCTGTTTTACTCCTGTGAGCTCTCTAAGGAGGCTACTTTAAGCCAACGAGCCCCGACGTTCATAAACTCACAGTTCCTCTCTTTATTACCTCCTGCTTTGATGGCAGTGAAAATCAGTCTGACCTCTGAAACCCAGCGGTGATGATTTCTCAAACCCTGATACCTACTGTTATTCCAAGAAACACTTAAAAGTGGAATGGTTTTCAAACACTCTGAACTTACAGCATTATCCAGACCCCTTTTCTTGATGACAGTCAATACGACTGTTCGATTTATATACTGCAGTTTGCAGCACGGCAGGATCCATGTTTTCTAATTGCAGTCGGGTTCGTACAACGAAAAGCGTCTTGTTTCTTGTTCATGAAGTCGCGGTGCTCACGGCCACCTGCCAGTCACGCCTCGGCCGGGAACGGTTTTAACTCGGGGTTTGTTTCTGTGTGTCTAACAAATCAGAAATGAGCCGTAACACAGACTGACATTCATGTTTTATGAGTCAATCTGACCGCTCCAGAAGTGTGTTGGAGCAGACGCCGTCAAAACCCCAGAAATGTGAGTTAATGGAGTGGAGCAAAAGCCTGTAAACATCGTATTTGTTAGAAATACCTAACTTGGCTTCTGAATTTTGTTACACCAGCCATAAAACCACAACTTTCTCAACATCTTTTAGGAAGATACAGGCCAAGGACTTCGAGAGATGCTGTGATACTTGGGTGGGGGGAGGAAAGGGGCTTTGTTTTCCTCCGCTTCTCTTGGGATGCCTTCTAGATGGGACCCTGGAGAACGAGTCCACGAGGTCAAACATGCATACACAAGGAAGTCACGTCTCTTAATAATGTATTCGTGCCTATTTGGAAAAACGCATACCAGGGCTCTGAAATTACATGTCACTTCTGAAAATGTTTGCCACAGCAGAAGCATCGTTGTGCTTACCAAAGGCTTCAGACAATCCGGGTTGTCTCTGGCTGCAGCAGCGCATCTTTTGGCAAGGTCTGTGACGTCTTCAGCCATTTTAACTGCTTTGCCAAACGTGCCTCCTTGCACATACTGAGCAAACATGATCATGGCACTAGAGAAGAACACACAACGTTAAACCTGTTGCAGGCTACCTGAAAATTAATTAGTTAACTTTTAGGTGCGAGACAGCGAGAGGATCCATATCGCCCCGGGCTGAGCTGGCACGGGCTGGCAGAACGAGCGAGTGTTTGATTCGCAGTACACGTTCGTTTCCAAATGACATAAGGATGTTCAGTGGCAGCAAATTTGTAAGAAGAGGACGTTTTACCTGGACAACTTACATGGCTTTAAAATTCTTCTCATGCAGCTGAGAAAAACGTTGGCCAATGTCGTTTTTTTGGTCTGAAAAACATGATAATTTCAATAAAAAACGTTTACTAAATGCTTCACCAAATACCTTTTTTTTTTGGTGCTGGAGTCTTGGAGAAAGATACTTCAGTGCCTGGGGTACTAGCACTGGGAGTGGCACGGCATAAGATTGAACTTTGTATTTGACTTAAGCACGAGGATGTGAAACTATTTCTTTCTGACCTACGATACAACAGGGCCAATACCATTTCCCTGCCTAGCTCAAGTGTTGCGGGGAAGAATACGCTAAAACCTGGAGGGCGTTCAGCTACTATGATGATGCACTTCACATGACTGAATAAGCACCTTACGAACACCTTTTAACAGTGCCTTAGCTATTTAAAGGTGTGCTTGATCGCTCTTGAGATACAGAAGAAACCTCTGTGCAGAAAACATGGGATAAATTGAGGACTACATCGGCAGGCAAAGCTCCTCAACAATTCAGAGAGCTGCATCCTTCTGTCTGTGTTGTGAACTGGCCCAGAGGAAAACTAATGTGCCCAATCTATGTGAAGAACCTGTGCAAATATCTTTCCTTTGCCACTGAGCCTTTATTAATGGGCAAATCTAACTGCAATAATTTCTTGAGTTCCTTGTTTGCCAGAGAGTATTCTGAAAGATCAATTTTAAAATTAGGGTCTTGTTCCCAAACCAGGATGCTACTGTCTCACCCTCCTGTTGGTAGTGCTGAGATTGGTGTAAAAGGATCAAACAAATCAAAGAAATAAGCCAGCTTCTCCCTCCGAGTAATGCCAGGGGGTCAACTGAGACAATAACACGAAATAAATAACGCAAAGATCAGTTCTGTTTTACATTGTTGGGCCATTTAGTGCATTTGGAATTTATAAAGATGAAAAAAAGTTCCCAACGATAACCGTATGTAATGTGAAAGAAGCATCTGAACCGCACACTGTTGGAGGTTTTTAGTTGTGCCATTTCAGGCACTTAACCTTAGTTAAGTGAAGTACGGTCATCGCAGGCTCCTTCAGTCGTCGGTGAAGACAGAGTAAGGCCCCTCTGAAGGATAAGACATAGCAATAGCTTAACTGAGCTACTCTGAATAGCCACCTGGAGGTAGCAGCCGTCTTGGGACGTCTCCGTTTTGCTTCCTCCTGGACTGTGGAGGGGGGCTGGAAAAACCACAGGCTTTACTTTTAGGAGTACCTAAAATCGGTGGCGCAACCACATCCCCGTGGATTAAATTACCCTTCAGTAGACTTCCTCTCAGTAATCACTGGCCGTCCTGCACACTACGTAGATTCTCAAGCCATTAAGAAGCAACGCACCTAAGGCTGATGGCAAAAAATTTATACCGATACAGTTTTGCTGTATATCTCTGACCCATAGGAAAACACCCGTGTAGAAGTGGCAGTGGCAAAGCGAGATACCACATAACCATGCCTGCGAAGTTGCAGCCATCGGTATTATACAACAGAATAGAGTAAAAATATGAGATGTGTTCTTACCTATGTCCCGATAACTTCTAGGCAGGGCTTTCACTACGGTAAGGCTCACCAATAAAATAACATAAATTATTGTTCTCCAATTCATACTGTCAGATTTTGGCAGGGGCCTGGCGTGAGCTTGGTTCATCTGTGAAAGGTAGAAAGAATTGAGGGGGAAGACTTACTTTTATACTCTCCCAAACGATTTCTGGTTAATCAAAACCCTTTTACTGTCATATATAACATTAGCCCTTTTGGAATATTCCCACAATAATTAGACATGCCATTATTTGCTCAGTATGATGAAGTGACCAGCTTGTTGCAAAGGACGGACCTTGGGGATTCTTTTTTTTCCCTGACATTTACACAAATAGAAACTTATCACACTTCAAACAAGAACTTTAAACACTCCTTGGGCTTTTTATTGTGCATACTGATCCCATCTACCTACAAATTTGTTTAAAGGTGACTGCTGCGCAGAAGATGCCTTCGTAACGCATTGTTGACTGAAAAATCCCAAGTTCAGCTGTTAAACTGATATTTTTGCATCCCTCGGTGCTGTACAAGCTATTTCTTTCTCCCAGCTCCCAAAGCGTCATGGTGAAAAGGCTGAATTAAGTACCCCCTTTAATATTTTTGCAGCGTTAACAATTACGGTCAAAACGTGTCTGAATCTTGAAACAAAATCGACTCCGAACCTGTAGAATGAAGGGAAAAAGTCCCGTTAGTACAGTTATTTCTTTTTACTTTTTAAAAAGTATGCGGTAAGCATACTGATAAAATTTACAAGTTTTTGGAGATAGGTGGGCGGGCAAGGATACGTGTATTGGGTCTGAAGGAAGAGGCAAAGACAGAGCTTTTTATTTCTTTAGACATAAGAAGGCAATGCTCCTTGTTCCATGCTGCAGGGAGACGGTGCGGGTTGCTCGTTGTCACATGAGATGGTATCAAAAGGAAAAAGGATTCTGAGTGGGAAGATGGGAGCCAGCTCATCGGAGCAGGAGGTCTAAAACGTAAGGTGAAACGACGTCTGTTCAGGAGGTCACAAATAAGCTCTGTCACACTGCTAACTAAAAAGCCCCACAGGAGAGAGAGACATTTACTTGCAAGCACGCGCCCTGGAGGTCAGGGACCCTCTTTCTACATATATGATCCTGATTAAGTCCATAGGCGCAGACCAGGGAAAGCTTTTCTCACCCAGCTGTTTCCAAACAGCCGGCCCCTCTTGCTGCTGGGAGCGGGCGCTCCCTCAGGTCTGCAGTTGCGCTCCCTCCCTCCAGCCCCCTGCTCTCAGCAGCGTCCCGTGTTGGGGCTGCCCGAGCAGAGTCCCCGCGGGGGCAATCTGGGGACCGTCCAGGGGCTCCTGCTTCCGTTCCCCCAGAAGCAGCAGGGAGAGATGCAGATTGGTCCTCTCATTTTCAGAACAACCCCTTAATACAAGGTTGTTACTCTCAGCTATAAAAATGAAGGAGGTGGGGGTGTTCTACTTGAGAGAGACCTGCAGAATCATTTGAGACACTGATGTCAGACACCTTGTACAGCAGCTTCTTCTTTGGCCCAGAAAAATTTCTGAAAGCTGCACTTGGCTGCTGCATATAAAACCCCTTACATTAAATTTCTCCACTGCCCTTTTCCATGCTCAGCAGGACGGTGAACTGCTTTTCACTTTTCTTTGAAAATACCTGCCACTGTTCGGATGGCAATCTGCCTGTTTACAGTGAACGCTCATTTGCAGGAGGGAAATGTCTGTATAGTATTTAACTGAAAAAAAAGCATATGGCAAACACTAGAAATGAGATCCAATGCAGAGGTTAGGTCCTCATAAAGAGTTCCCTTTGTCCTTCAGAGTACGGAAACCGTGTTGATCTACTCAGTTTCACACCTAGTGAGGATCCAGGTGTTTCTAGAACTTCTTAGAAACTGTTTTGCAAGGTCAAGGTAGAGCTAAAAGCAGCTGATTGCGCCCTGGGTGTGGAGCTGCGAATGGCTGCCAGCTGGCGGTGGTTGGGGTCGGGGATGCTCACTCCACTTTTGAAATAGCCGGGCAGTGGGAGGTTGGGAAATTTTTTACTCTGTGCGTTATGCGAGAGAGGTGAGAGAGTTTTTTACAGGGTATTTCTTGGTGACTTGGAGCGGTTCGAGGGGAAGGTCTGTGTGGCTGAGGCTGGTGTGTGATTCTGCTGGACTTCCGTTACTTTTCTCATGCTGGGTGCAAGTGTGTGTGCCCAGAGCTGAGCTATTTTATTTCTGCTCTTACTAATGAGAGCAGAATTTGTGAATGCCCTTTTTGTGGGGGTTGCTTTCTTCAACAGTAGTAATTGCAGTAATGGTAGCAATAGCAAATTGTAGCAATACTGAAGTTTTTCTTCTTAAAATTGTTGAATTTTATCGTGTTTTCTGGTAATTTAAGTAGGATATGTATAGGATTCAATTACATCCAACTATAAACTCGGAGAGTATCATTCTTGTCAAATCACGAGTATTTGCTCTAAAAAGAGTCATGTTTGCAGGAAGTTTGTGTATCGGTAACAACTTGGCTTCTTCCTAAGTAGTAAGAACATTTATCTTTAAAAGTCTGAGCTGCTCCGATGAGGTATTTGGAGTTACGTTCCCTGTAAGTAACCTGAAGTACTGGGATGTGCTGTGTAAGAGGCGTGTTGGAACTTCATGAACTGTTTTGTAAAGAAAAGATTTTTTGTGTTTGTGTTTTACATGGAGATACCATGAAAGGAAGCTTGGCTAGGCTTTATCTGATTACGTGTTTTTGTATATGTCTTGTTTTGGTAGTGGGGGTTCTTGCCCGGAGAAGGCAGGACCCAGCAACAGCTAGGAAACATGAGTGGGTGATTCCCCGCCTCCTTCCCAGTGTTTCTCTCTGCTGCACACCCAAATCGCCACAGGCCTTACGAGCTCCTCAGGGACGGGATCACTTTCTCATCCCGGGCAGCCTCTCGCAGGTAGCGAACCTCCGCGTGCTCTGGTGCGGGTGTACCACTGGGTCCCCTGCTACGGAGGAGATCAGCAGCTCTGCGGCTCGGCGAGCTCTCACCTAGTGTGCAGAGCCACTTGGTGGTGGAAAGAACAAGTTTCCAGCACTTTTTTTTCCTCCTCACCCTAGTGGAGCATTTTTGTGGGTTGCCTCGACACCTATTTGAGGTGAAACCAATGTACCTGGCGGAGCGGTTGGTTTAAATTCACAGAAATGATCAAATTACATTCCGAAGAAATGTATAGGAATTATGAAGAGTGACAGTCCCAGCTTGTGTAAACTGGTTCTGCTGGAGGCTATGTAACTATCCCAGCTTACATCAGCTGAGAATCTAGGCCCAATTTTCAGATGTGGCAACTTTATTTTTGCTGGTCAGCTGAGGCATGGGCTGGCCAGAGGAGAACTGGAAATAGCAGTGAGTGAGAGCGAGCATTCTTTTAGTAACTGCAAATATGTTAGCATGCGAAGGGCTAACTGTTTGTCATTTACCTCGTTCTGGGAAAGCAGTCCTCGCTACGTAACCGAGACATGGTTGGCAGTATCGTAAGCATCAGAAGATGGAGGCACAGGAAGTTTCTCGGCTAAATAAAACCAAAAACCTGGAAAAGAAAGCAAGGACGGGGAGGGGGGAAAGAGAAAAAGAAAAATCAATTGGAAAGTTGATCATGAGGTAAGCTGCAAGTAACTAACATTTCTATAACTACTATGCCTCTGTCTCACCAGAATGCCGCACATATGAGTGTCTCCTAAGTGCAGACGTTATTGAACCCTCGTTATTCAAACCATCTATCTGCACAGCCAAGAAAAATTAGGTTTAGAGCATATGCTGGAGAGATGTCTGTCATAACCGAGCCCTTTTACGCTCTAGGTCTATGTTTCCCTCCTGAAGTCCCCCTGCTTAGACTTTCCGCTCCGTTGAGCGGGAGTGCGACTGTTCGGCTACTCCTGAAAGCTTTATTCATATCTAATTTACCTCTGCCTTTGTAGGACTGAACCTGCCGCTCTAGGCGTTCAGGACAGGCTCGTAAGTCCTGTCTTTGCTCAGGTCCTCTTTTGGCATTTCACTGAAAGCGAAGAAAAACATAAAAGATGATTACTAGAGGAAGAGGGGTTGCTGGTGTGGTTCTTCACTGCCTGCCTGTAAATAGTTGTGTCAAAAGACGGAAGTAAATAAATACTTACACGCACACAAACACAGGTGGATTTATGTATGCAAACATGACAAAAGTCCCAATTCTTTTAACTCTTTACACTGTCAAGATTGTAAAGCTGAGGTGCTCGCAGATTGCCCTTGAAGAAACATCTCGTGTATAGGCAGTTTCGTTCCATATTGTTAAAGTTAAAGAATCCAGCTGGTGTGCAGGTGGGTTGATGTGTGTGGACATAGCCTGTGTTATCTATAAGGCATCTACCACTGACTGTTGATGTTGTGACCGGCCCGTCTGCAATGACTTGAGCTTACATATACCCTTGTGGATCAAGCAATGCAAGCGACGTGTAAGATGCGCCTTGCCCTCGTTGAGCACCTTTGCCCACGCGGTAGCGGAGTGTGGTCACGATGGCGGGGGGCAGCTCTTCTGCCCTAGCAGCAGAACCGTCTGCCCTTTTGGATGCGCAGAATAATTCCCTGCTATGGAGAACAAGAACTTGTAATGACTTATTTAAAAGTAGAAGGATGAAAGTATTGCTTTATGTGCTAAAAAAGCCACAAAGCAAGCCTTGTTGGTTTTTGCAGGTTGGATTTGTTTAGTTTCATTGAGAACCCTGAGCCCTTTCCTCCTCGTCTTACAGGAATGGTTTTGTGGTTGAATACACAGAATTTTCTACGGAACGACAAAACCGTTTCAGCTTTTCCATGTTATTCAGTTATTAGTTAACTGCATATTCCCTAAGAAAATTAATTTTCATAGAAGATATTTGAGTCTTTTCTGCAAGTATTTAGCCGCAAAATCAACGAGTGTCCTCCTGTACATGTGTGTGAACGGCTTCCCAAGTGTTCTGAACTGGGATTACATTCAGCTCCTCTTATGGAAAATACACTGAGTTTATCACGCTTACTATGGCGGTACGGGCCAGATCCGGGGGATTTGCCCAAGAGCCTTTGGCTGGAGTGTTAGAACTTGAGGCTTACTGAAGCAGAACAGAGTTTTGTATTTGGCTTTTAGGGACTGCTCTGAAACTTGCTGAACGGAGGGGAAGTTTTTCTCTTAAGATCGCTTGCGACAGCGTTACAGTTGGCACTCACTGCTGAATCTGTGCTGCCAAACTTGAGGCAATGCACGGGACGTAGGACATAAAACTTTGTTACCCAAATATTTAGAAGTCTTCTCTGGTGTATGTAGCCTGGAGGTAAAACAGGGAGGAAATACAAGTTGTTAGCTTTATTGTTGCAAATGGTTTATGATTATGTGCCGATGACAGGAAATCTGATGGTAAGAATTGCTCTCTTCAGCCCCTGCAAATGACTAATTATATCCAAATCATTTGTGAGCTTCTGTTTGACTTGGAGATGATTTCCTGAGTAAGTCTATTTTACCAAAAGTGCGTGTCCTAACCTCTTTTCTGACTATATATGTAATCTGGATGTTGTTATTTTAAAAAGGCTTTATAAGTTCATGGCCCAGCAGTAAATGGAGGAGTATGACTTGTTTAATGAAAAGCAGGGCATTTTTGACATGGTATTAAAGTATCCTCCTGTTCCCCAGCTATGCCTCTTTGCTGAGGTATGTTGAAAATATTTATGTGGTTCCATACAAACCATGATTTGTCTCGCTAAAAGAATCCCGTTCAAATTATTTTACCTTGAGGGAATAAAAAGATTCATGTATAATGTCTGGCTTGTCCTTTTTTTTAAGTCACTCCTAGGTGTTCTGCGTGGCCCCTCGGTTTGATATGAATTGACGGTTTTTGCTCGGGTCCTTGTCTTCAGGAGTGTTCACCCTGCGGGTGTACGAGCGTGTCGGCACAGCAGATGGGATAACCTCTTGCGTTACAGGTGGGAGCATGCCTAGGCCGCGCACGCCTACGCGCTGCCGTAAGTTGGCGACCAACTCCTCTGTCCTTTGGTTCCTCTCAGTCACTTGGCTGGGAATGAAATGACTTTCCTCGCTGTTTTTCTGGCAGTGCTTCTCTCTGTCCCGTTTGTCTCCGGGCTTGCGAGGACACGTTTGCTGTGCGTTTTGTGTCGGAGCGACACGTGGGCGGAAAGTGTAGCGAGTGGTGAGTTGTTTGCGTGGTGCCAGTGGTGGAAATAAATTGACAGGTGTCCCGGGAGGACTCGTCTGTGCGGGGGTTTGTAGTGTAAGCCTCTTACCATGCCAACGCAGTCCAGATCTGTTCGACAGATCTCCCCTTTGAGAGGCAGAATTTGGCATACAGCAGAGCGGCAAGCACAGATCGCTCCCAAGAGCGGCTCCAAGGAAGTCTGGTGTTAGGAAACCGGCCTCTCTTTTGTCCTAGTGCACCAGCAGTATGACCCGGCCCGCTGCAGGGACTGGTGAAGCTCGCCGGAGTAGTGGGCTGCCAGTCATTCTGTCGCTCCTTAACTGTTACCGCATCGAAGATCAAGCACTAGAAATTTTGCCTTGTCTTCATCTTCTTGGGTTCTGGTAAACTTTGCTGGAGTACTACAAAGAGAAACAAAAAGGAGCAAAGCCTGTTAACAAGCAGACAGATTAAATCTTCATACGTACAGGATATATTAATTTGCTTCAGACTCCATAGCCCCTTGGCAAGATGAATCCACATAAAACTTGCAGGCTTTCTTGCACTGTGACTTCTCTTTCCCCTCATCCCCCTTCTCTTCCCCTTCATTTTCACAGTGACATGGACGGGATGCTGAAAGAAGGATGGCTGCTTTCCAGGATGTCTGCAGGCTGCGTAATACGGTGACGGTAGTGGGGTGGCAGAACCATCTAGCTCTCTTGAAGAGGTTCAGTCAGTGACTGCTGTGAAAGGCACTTGCCCTTCGCCTTACTGCCCAAACAGAGGTTCTTTATACATGGTGAAAGATTCCTGGGTGAGTTGTTCTTGAGGGAACTACTGCTGAGCTTCTTAGAAGAGATCCAAGTTTCACATCCACACTTGAGGCGATCCTCTCAGCTTCAGCTGCATGAAGCTCTGCCTCTCTCCCAGGCCGCTTGTTAAGCGAGAAGAGCATACGAGTGAAAAGCAACCATCCCTCTGCTGCTGCCTGCTGCAGAGGAGCTCCATGGCAGGGTTCCCACTTCCTCTGTACAGCAGGCAGTCAGCCTTTTACTTCAGCCTTTTCCAGTACAGGATGCCAAGCTGCCGTCTACAATGCAATTTGGTCACCTCCGTGACATGAGGACCGAGTTGTGACTTGTGAGTTTTACTGCTCAGGTTTGCGCCCTGCTCTACTCCTCTGCTTCCGCTTAGTTCCAGGACCATGTCAAAAGCAAAATGTGCTTCTCCTGTACAGTAGAAAAGAAACATTCTAGTAATTCCAGGTGCTATTGCTTGCCACAGAGGCAATCACTTTTATAGCAAACATTTTTGATCGTGGAAAAAGGAGATAAACCAGATAGCTGTTTTGGAGTTGGAGGACTGACGCATCTTTCCAGGACTTCGAGTCCCAGCGTAGTTCAAGGGATGGTGTTGGTGCCAGTCTGGCTTCATTGAGACAACTGAGTGCTTTTGCTCTGTAAGATGCTTGCTTTCACACCACGATGAAATGGTTTCATCGGATATAACCTTGTTCTGCCTTCGGTGAGGATGATTTCTGGGAGAGGCTCTTCCACTTTCTGTACTCAGTGCAAAGAATGTCCTTCTGGAGATTCTGGACTGAAGTAAGTTATTGCCTCCTCACAGGGAGGCAAGAAGTAATCATTGATCCTGGGTGGTTCCTATGCATTGGGAGGGGGGATGTGCAGCCCGACATAAACTGTGAAAGGCTTAAAGGAGTAGTGCTTTGCAGAGGCTGCTGCCTACATGTTTGTTAGCACCACGATATGCCCTTCATTGGGAAGCAAAGCCTACATGCCAGGTAATTATGAGAGCGTAAGATGAACCTACAACGTCTAGAATGGGAGCAGTAAGAAATTCTTAAAGCTAAAATCCTTCACCCCTGACCCACCCTTCCCTTAACTTCCTAAGCACAACACTCCTACTTTTATCTAGGTTGCAAATCCCATAGTGGCTTGATTGCAACTGAACTGGACACAACAAAGTACAAAGGGTGACATTTACAACTTGTCCTTGTCTTTATCTGGCACCTGTAGGCGTGATGGTCTAGCCAAGTGAAACACCATTGCTGAATGTCAAAACAAGTTATCTTAGCACAACACAATCACCGTTATCTTAACGCAAGGCAAACTTAGGTTGCGGCGACCTGCTTACACAGCACTTTAGAGCAAGGCAGGGAACTTACTATATCTGCCCACGGGTGAAAAAAACTAAAAGCATGTATTTTTGAGAAGGCCCCAGTTAATTCCTTGCAGCTGCTCCGTGAAAGGCACTGCTCTCGTCACAGTGCGTATTGTGGATCTCGCTGTGGATCTAGCGGAGTTGTAGTTTTTGGAGCACAAATTCTCCCTTGACTCTTGGAAGTCGAGTGTCTGGCACTGCCTCGTCCAGGCTTTCTCTTCTGCCAGAGTCATCCTCTCGTTGGCTCAGCTATCGACACTGGTAGTTGTCCTAAGATGACTCCATTTGCAGCCTACCCCTCAGGTGTGACTCTTAGGGCGGCCCCTCAGAGCAGAGGCAGCTGTCAAGTCCAAATCCCCTTTTGAAGCCGTGCTGCCTGATACTTCAGGTCGCTTTCTGAAAGGGATGGCGCTTTCTCTTGGTTCCAGTGTGCATTTTCGCATGGCTCTTCTCCCCTTGCACCAGCAAGGGGAACGTCCCTCTTCCACTCCACCAGGTTTCTGCAAGGCTCTATTTGAGATACTTTACCTCGTCAGGGACCCTGTCTCTCAGTGGAATTTTACTCCGTGATCTTTTTTCCTAAACAAGCCAACACTGCAATGGGTCATTGGCTCCTGTCCCATCTTCATCTTCTCATGACAACTTTTAGGTTGTTCCCCTAACATATTAGGTTATGGTTGAACAAACTATTTTGAAGAACAGCTGCGAAGCCCTGATAAGTAGTGATCTTGGACAAAGCCTGTACTTAAACTTTTTTTTTTTTTTGAAAAGAAGGAAGAAAAATATGTCAGTTTCTCCAGTGTTCATGTTTTCTTGTTTTCCAGGCACTAACACTCCCTGTATATGTGCTGCTTGGGTTTAAGATGGAAGGACACACGGTAGGGGTGAGTTCCCTGAACACAGAAGCTGAGTGTGACATGTCCCTGGGTAGCTACAGTAGCATGTGGGGGCTGGCTAGGCTGGCGCTTTGCCCAGAGAAGACCTGTGACTTTCCAGATTAGTAGACAGAGACCAGGCAGGTTACTTAAGGTATCTCAAATGGTGTTAGATGGTTATTTTTAGGCAACTGAATCATATCTGTAGCTTCTGCATGTCGGTGTAATCACAAAAACTTGGGACGCCTTAGGCTTCTGGAGACTTAAGGCCTTGCTTGTCTGTCTTGAGTGGGAAATAATAATGGCTCCCCCCATACAAGGGAGCTTTCAAGTATGTCTACCAGGCAGAAATACATGGTAGGAGAATAAAAATAGCGACGGGAGTCTACCTGCTACAAATGAGTCGATGGAACTGGCTGCAATTGCTACAACTGATTTTCATACCTATATAGGTGTTCCTTAAGGAATGGAAATAGAAGAGTGAAGAGGCAAGGGCCTTCCTTTCTACCGTGTCTGCTCTCGCATCACAGCACTGCTGCAGTGCATGAGTTATTCATTTTTGATTTACAGTATTAAACAGTCAACTGGAGCAACGTAGATTTGGGAAGTGTTTCTTCATTGCCTGTTTAAAAGAGACAACAATGGGATTGAGAAGGACACGACAGGTCCATGGATTCTCAGACTTGAATAGTTTAAGTGACTTTATTAGTGCCGGGAATAGAAGTAGAGGCTAAGCAGAACATTTTTTCGATCGATCGTGAGAGTTAGTAACCTAAATTGAGGGAAACCAAAAGAAACTGATTATGTAATTTGTCACCCGTTGTGATTGTGGCTTCGTGTTTTGCAGTGCAACGTGAAGATGAAGTAGTCTGTGCGTACATACAGGTGTAGTTTATTATCTGTGGGCAAACACATGGCAAAACTAGCTGTGCAAATGGCCCCTCTAGCTGGCTGAATTACTTGATCTAAATGCATTATCTGATATTTGCTAAGTCAGCTTTTGTTGTCAAGTGGTTTGTAAAGATATGACACGGCTCTTCACCCGGGTATGTCACAGCGTCCGTTTGCTTGCAGCATTTGTCTACCACAGCAGTAAAATCGGCCATCATTTTCTTTACTTGTCCATGTGTCATCCGGGGGTTGCACCTGAGGAGAGGAAGCAGCAATCTGCAGAGGAAGTCAAATGCAGAGTTAGCGCTACTGACTGAGGCTCGACATCGCCATTTGTAACATCATCCCCAGTCTGAAACTGTGCAGCATGTCCAGAGGGCAGAAGCTATTGCTGCCACCTGTGGCTCTATTTCTGTCTCGCTTTATGTCTGCTGCTGCCACAGCGGTCTTCTCCCTTTCCCTTCCTTCACAGTCGGAGGAGCGGCGGAAGAGTATTCTTCAGTACGTGGATGCTTTGAGTTAAGCCCATGCATAAGATGTACATATGCTAGGCTACAGCCTTCAGTCTGGTCAAGTGCGATTATTATATTGACGAGAAACTCTATGCGCCACTGGCTAAACAGACGTTCTCGGTTGAGTGCCACTTCCTAAAGTTAGTCGTGTTTGGGAACACTGGGAACTATAAGGCCTACTAGTCTCTAGGAATGTGGCCAGAGATGCCAAAGATGGAGAGGAAAAAAAAGAAGAGAGACCCTTGAGTTCTGTTCAGACACAATTTTTGTTTGGGAAAAGAGGAGACGGGTAGATGTATTAATTTCCCTCAGAAAATAAAATTATTTCCAGTTTGTAGGCAGGCTCTGAGTCATTCTGATAATTTTTCTGACAATATACTCCATCATCGCCAAAAACTGTGACTGAAGTACAAGTGTGTCACGTGTGACACAGCTGCTGTTGTCTGAGAGAGACTTGTGATTTAAGTATTTGGTTTTATAGTGAAGTGACCACAGCTGTGGATATATGATTCTTACATACAATAAGTTTGCCAAAATGTCAAATAAGCTTTCCCGTATTAAAAGGAATCACCTGATGCTATCTCCATGAAAGGTGGCTCTGGATTCAAACGCTGATTAAAGCTAGCTGCTGTAGTTGACACTTCTGAAACATTCACTTCTAATTAGGAGTGTGCGCTATTCCCTTCGTTTACAGTACCAGACACAGCTTCAGCATTAGTTCTGTTCTACATTAAAATGAGAAGAACTTCACTCAGAAAAGCAGGACAGGCTTCTGAAAAATCTTCTTGTTAAGAAGGATATGTGAGCTGCAGATTATTCCCTATCTCTGTTCTCCACCGTGCTTTCAAATTTTGGGACAGCCTGTTCCTGTTGCTTTCTTAAATGGTGTTTGGACACTTACTCTGTTGTGAAACCTGTCTCTCCAAACTTCTTCGGAATCTTGCAGTTGTGTGCATGAATCCTGCTGGATTCCTTGATTCTTTCCATAGCTGAACGAGCTACAATACTGAGCATGTTATGTTTTAAAATGACCATGTTTAACAAATGAAGAGCAAAAAAACCCTGAAAACTTATTTTCTTAGGTAAGTCTGACATTTTGGGGATCTAGAAATCTGTCTTTTGATTATTTTTTTTTTTTTATCATTGCAGCAGGAGAAAACAATGCACTTAAAGCTGAAAAAACTCAATAAGCAGAAATGCTTTACAAAACCAAAAAATAATTTTTTTGGATGGAGAAAACTGTGTAATACCTTTAGATTCAAGCAAATGCTGCGACTAGGCTGTTTGCAGCAGTTTTCAGCTGCACACTCGTAGTCGATAACCAGAAGTACAGCAGCACGAAGAAAAGCAGACTTTCTTGCAACCCTATGAACGTAACTGTAATGAAAATTTAAAAGCCATTGTAATGCTACACAAAGCTTCTTAAGAAGCAGTATTTTACATTTTACGTTTTTGCATCTGCTAATGGCCCAAATTAGTCATGAAAGTCACCCTGTGCCTCCTTGTGTTTTTAGACCCAAATGGTTATCAACATTCAATATTTAAAAACATATATATACACATGTACATAAAAATATGACAATGGCCAAATATTTCAAGGGTTTTACAGTGGAGAAATCCTCACTTCCTTACCTACTGTTTTTTTCCTCTTTGTGCTTTCTTAAATTCAAGGCTCCTTAAGAGTTGTTATTCTTCCTGGGAAAATGGAAAAGACGGGAAGGCAGACAAATTGAGAAGTAAACTTAGGATAACACAGGTGTTTTTACTAGAATACGGAGAACTAAAAGTATAGAAGACGTTTCTGAAGAACAGGATTTTTCTTTTAATACGTGTTAATGAAAAATTATCTGTCTTAACAGTGGTGGGTGAGAGAGTCCTGTATTTGAAACGTGTCTGCAGCTTTTCCTAAGCACATAGCAGTATGTCTGCAAACTGTTCCATTGTACCTGACTAAAAAGTATTTATCCAGTACAAAACGAGCAGTTTTCTTACTACTCCAGGA